TGAGAACTGGCGACTTTGTAGTACAACTTTAGTACGCGGAGTATCTGGCGAGCTGGCCGATGAGAACTGGCGACTGTGTAGTACAACTGCAGTACGCGGAGCATCTGGGGAGCTGGAAGATGAGAACTGACTGGCGACTTTCTAGTACAACTTTAGCGCGGAACAACCTGTGGAGCTGGAAGCTGAGAACTGGCCACTTTGTAGTACATACACTTGTACATGCCCAGTTGGTTCAACACGCCTTTGTGGGCTGCTGATCTTGTCGTGGCACAGATACAACCCAGTACGCTGTTGTGAGCTGCTGATCCTGCAGGGGGCACACACCTTACACACGTGGAATCTCGTGGGTCAAAAGTCCGGAGCGCGTGCGTTTGACTGGAGGACGCGCATGTTGTAGACCTATAGGTCAATTTCTTCTTATATGAAACTTCCGCCGCCGGCTTGCCCGGGAACTACTTGTATGGGACCTGACAGCGTGCAACATTAGTGGGGGACTTGACAGCGTGCAACATGTTGAAAAAATCATAGCCGGTTCAGCCCCTGCTAGCATAAAACATGATCTACGGAAATCTGAAACGAGATAGGTTATCTCATCAACCTTGCACGACATGTCAATTCCCCCTCTTCCAATATGCCTTCCGGATCAGTTTGCATCTCATGTGAGGATTGAGCGCCATTCCGCCCATTTCACCGTCCGCCGGGAAACTTTCCTGCGAATTACGCACCAATGCGGAGCGTATACTCAGCCGTAGCCATGGGCCTGGCTCGCCTGAGGGAGCGCCTCGCTGCTCTATCTGAGGCAACAACGGCAGATTGAGTCCTAAGTATCGGGAAGAGCTTCAGCCAGAAGGCAACGCACTCTTTGGACGAACGCCGCATGAGCCAGGCTGACACCCAACCTTGCGCGGTGGACCCTAAGTAGTCACCGTGCTGAGAGCTGGGGGCTCAAGAAAGACCGTCAGCCAAGGACCCTAAATTGTGGGCCCGTTTCAACTGCTGCGGTGACACGCAAGGCCTCGGCGATGATCGGAGAAAGGCGCTGTTTTGGGGAGGCATTGTGTGGACATGTGAAACATCGCCAGTTCCGGCGGCACCTTGCTGGCAGCGTCTTATACCAAGGATTACCAAGGCGGCGATCAGTCAGCCGTCAGCCCGCCGCAAAACCCTCAAAGCTGACTTTGCAAAACTCCGGGCACTGGGCAAAGAAGGATATACAACACATGGCCTGCACCAGGCTGCGCAACTGCACGGCCATTCTAACAAGAAGCCCTTTCAGCGAAAGAGACGAGACGAGCTCAACTAGCACCATGAGAGAAGCAAGCTACTGTCTGCTTGGGTTGCCTGACTTGCCTTGCGCGTCGCGTTTGAGACTGCCACGGCGTCCCTGAAGCGCAGTTATTGGCGGTCTTGGTTTCGCGCCCCTACATGAAACTGAACGCGCGAATTCACCCTTGACTCTGTTGCGCTTTGTGCTTCACGGTTGGCCGGGGAGCTACGGGCATTGGGACGATCCTTTTGAGGCGCAAATGCCAAACTTGAGACCCCCCTTATTGGGGCCTGAGCCCAGCCTGAGGGCACGGGCGTGGGTGGACGCTAAAACAAGTTTGGTAAGTTTTCCCAACGCGTTGCTTGAAGCACACTGCGCTACAGAAGGTTTTCGTCGCCAGTGGCCGGGCTTCTAGCACCGCAAAGCCATAGTCCCGCCCCACATGCAATTGTCAAATAGTGACCTGAGGCTGAAATCCCTTTTGTTGTCTTCTTGCTCAAATTCTCTTCCTACTGCACGCCTAAAGGATCTTAAAGGCATTAAAATTTCTTGCAACACAGCAGGTAAGTCCACGCGTGTACTGTGGCCGCTTTGTCAAATTAAAGGCCCCAGTAACTAGGAAACTTGAAGAAATCCATGACGTGCCCAGGGGGCCATATTTAAGCCCCTTGCCACAAAATATGTGGAATCATGTGGAATCTTCAGTCACAGTTTAGACTTGCACAAACTCAAACGAACAGTCTTGCAAGACCTTCGTCGCAATGTATAAATAGACCGGACGAGGCGAAGAAAGACAGACAAGAGAGGAGAGGCCGAAGACAAAGGCGAAAAGGAAGGTGCGCAACCTGAAGGACCGGGCCACGTAACACCTGAAAAACAGACAAACCTAAAAAAACGAGGAAAGACTTGACAAGAACTAACCCGCCGGCTCACAAAGGAAACCCGGGCCCAGCACCTGCAGCGACCAACTCCCGGAAGATGAGGAAGCTCCGGAAAACGAAGCGGTCGACGTTGGCGAGCGGCAAGCATACAGAAAAGAGCAAGACTGGCAACCGGATGTTTCACATTTCGACATTTCAAAACAACAAAAAAACCCGGAAGAGGAGCAGATAGGCGACAAAGCAAGGAACACACAAGGAACCTACCACCTCGACTCAGTATCAGTATGCCTCATGGGTGGCTGCGGGGTTTGCGCAGTGTCTTGTTCGGTAAGCATGGGCTAATGTCATCACAAGGCGCTTATGTTGCGGCTTAAAATGAAACCTCGTCTTCGACCGCATCCGCAGTCTGAAAAGCATCATACAATACCAACACAAGTTTTTCTTGATCCAACAGCCACTTCAGAAGGCCTGCCAGCAGTTGCGAGACAAGCTTCTCTGTTTGCTCTCAAACGAAAAATCTCTCTAGCGCAAGAAACAAAAATTGCCAGTGCTGTTTTCTCGCAGCACTGTCGTGCGGTTGTTTGGAGCTGGTGGAGAACCCATTCTTGTCACTTCAAGCGACTTTCGCCACTAAAACGCTTGTATAAACTATTGGGCAAAGAACAAAATTATCTGCATATACAGCCTGAAGAAGTACGATTGTTGTATGAACAAAGCGCAGATCCTGACTTACTGCAACCGTGGCAAACCTTGTAAACAAGCTAGGCTTCGAAGCTGCCCAGATAACCCTGTCCAGCCGCGTTTGCGCGCAGAACAATATGGGCTAAGGGCATGGCGAAGGAAACCTTCCACACGGGTTTCGAAGCTGCCGTCTGGCGCCCTTTCCGGCCACACTTGCACGGCGAGCAACATACGCCACTGGCCGGGGGCTTCCAGATCGGTGACCAAGCCATCCGGCGCACGGCGCTTCGCTCTTTAGGGATTGTCATTGGGACAGCTTAGGGGGACTTGGAGAAGCCTTACCTCAAAGGTGTCCCTTCCAGTCCCTGCCACGAAAATAGATTTTTCACCATAAGAGCGTCTTTCTTGCGCCAGTGGATTGAGATTGGTTTGATGTGCTTTGTCAGACAAAAAATTGACCTCGGCGCCAACCCACCACTGCAATAAGGTCGGTCTACGCGGGCGTTGGCCTGATCAAAATCTTTCAAACCCACCTGGTTTAATATGCCCTGGTGTAGACAATCCAATTGCTTAGAAGTTTGATGGGGCGTCAACGGTGTCACTGACAAGGCTGTTCAGAATCTGGAAAAGTTTTCTGAGGCTCCTTTGACGCCAGCAAACTCCCACTCATACTCTGCACCTTGTCCATGCCCACGCTGACCTCAGAGTCCGTGGATGGTCTCATCATCGCGCACCTTCAGGTAGTAGGAGCGCAGCGCAGGGAGAGCGGGATCTGAAGTTCAGCTGAGGGTGAATGAGGAAAGGCTTCCTTGCATTCCTCATGTCTACAGCAAATCCAGACCGACTCATCTTGCCCACACGGAGCACATCTGTACTCGCCTGGTCACTGACCTTGAACTCTGTCACGGCGTTCAGGACGTGGCTGTCCTCCCCGCTGATCTTGTGACGTTCTTCCTACCAAGCTTTCCCAGGCGTGCTCGACTCGAAGGCCTTCTATGCCTGGAAGCCATTGCCACGCCCACTCCTCTTCCTTCCCTGAGAAACTCCTGAGCTTGCCAATCGCCCGGGTATCAATCAGTCAGCCTGTGCTTGTTGTAGCAGTCCTCCGCCAGCAGCTATAAGCCATAAGCGAATCCATCGCCTAGGTGAAGGCGACAAGAGGAGTCTCCTCCACACAGGCGCCCACGCGCAGGTCTTACCCTGTCTTACAGGGGACCCGGAGCAGGCAACCCTGCTCCGCTACCATGCAAGCCGGTAGCGCCTTTTCTCAGCCCAAAGAAGGCTAGGTGCATAGACATGTGAACTGATGTACAAGACATCTGTATTTCCCTGCATGGTCCTTTTTCCATTTTTGTATGATTTGGACTTGCACAACTTCTTACATGCAGTCTGATGGGGATTGTGTCTGAATTTGGTTGCGTACACTCAGACTTCATATCAAAATTTACAGCAGCCCTGCTCCATTTTGTCTGAGTCATGCTTACAAATTTTGTGCTGTTGAGGTTCCACTCGCTTGTAATCCTCTGAGTTAGCAAGTAAAGTGTTCACTTCATGCACGGTAATGATGCATGTCAGCGGCACATGTTGAAACACACTTGTGGTCGGAGATCGATCGGCTTTGTATACGGCGTATACCGAACTCCGGAAACGCCATTATCCTGGCAACTCAACAGTTTCGGCAGTGGCCTTGCGCTCATCGTTGAAAGCTGCCTGATCACCAGCTTCAGCTACAAAATAACTCTGTGGGATCAATCCTACAGTTGCAGCCGATACTCCATAACACTCCCGCCTCTGGAGTCCAGTGATACTTTGGATTTGGCATGAAGAAAAATGCGCCATGCTCTGTTTCGACCTGAGAAAGTGCACACAAACATGAGAGTCCTAAAGTCCTTGAGTTATAAAATAACATCGTAGACTTCAAGTAGACAAGCTTTTTAGATCAAAACAAATTGTGTGGCTCATTCCCCAAAGCTGGCTAACTTAGAGCTCACCTAGACTCAGCCCGCTCTGTTCAACACCCAGCAAAAGGGGAGACTGAGCACGAGAGTGCTGTGATATTCAGGTGTACAGGGCATTATAAAATATCATACGCATAAAGCCAAGATCAGCAAATATACGCAAACAAGCACATTGTGTTGTCACGCACGCTGGACTGCATTTGAAGAGAGATTCAGATTAACCAGATTCCTTGAGGAAAACCTTGAGCGGCAGGCGGTTTGAAAAAAGCACAAAGCAACGACACCATGGCAATGCATGCAGAGTGACAAGCAGCCACGAGAACGATCCATCCGTCAAGGACCGAGGGTGGACGCAAGGTAGATGGAAGGGGAAAAGCATGCTCGAAAAAAAGGAGTGGACACGCTGCTGGAAGTAGATTATAGCGGGACAAAGGCGCATGGGCAAACCAGGCTCCACCGCTGTTTAAGGACCGCTTTGTTCAAAAAAAGTGATGTCATGTCTCTTCAGCCATGCGATTGTGAACATCCACAGTATTGATAAAGGCCCGCGTCAACAAACAATGCAAACCGAAGTGGGACACCGATCATAGAAACCGCAGCCAAAGACCACTGCCCCACAACACGCCCAACACTTGGAAAGCCAGAGAATATGTGGTACCTGGTAAATCTTTAAGCCGTAAACCAGCCTGATATTATCGAACACACTACTATCAAAAAGTGCAGCTAAAACTGCGGGGTCTCTCATGGCACAGTGAGCGCAAACGAAAACAAAAAGATTCAGAGGGAACAGGCACCTGTTTGATCTGTTTTGCATATTTAATCTGTAGCAGGGTGTCCTCTCAACAAGAAGACCATCCGAACCCTAAGAACGTGAAAGGACCGCATCTTTCTTCCTGCCCATAACGGGAATTGTGCCATTTCTCACAGGCGAACAGGAGCACTGCTTAGACCTATAGGACCTAGTTGCACTGCTGTATGTTGCAGGAAAACGAGAAGTCTGCCTTACACAACCTTGCTGCAAGGAGAGCTAAGGTAGCTCAGGTTACTTTTCGAGAAAAGGGTTTAAGTACTGCAGAGTTCAATTGGAAACGAAGCTTTGCAGTTTTGCTCAACTTACACAGACTGTTTCGCCTAAGGCCTTGACAATTCAGACCCAAACTTTGATGCTCCAACAATACGTATACTGATAGATCAAACCCTGCAAAGCATAGTTACAAACGAATCTTGTTTCACAATGGGAGACTTGGAGAGACTTACAAAGACTGGAACTGATTTCGATTAAAACTAGCAAATGTCTGTTTCCAGTCCTTTGAGGTTCCATTGCAATGCTGAGATTCCTGCCAACTCAGAGCAGCCCAATTGAACTGCACGTCGTGCATAACCAGACGAACCAGAGGCAAGGCCCAAAACCTGGCAAAGCAAACGAAAAAGCTCCTAGTAGCGTCCTTGATCCTAGCAGTAAGGCCAGAAGCCCCTTGTAGCGTCCTTGCTCCTAGTAGCGATGCCAGGAGCCCCTAGTAGCTTATTGTTGTATAAGTGCTCAAGAATACAGCTGTCCTGGCTGTGGCATTTCCAAGGGAGCGGCAACATTTGACACAGGCTGCGACTCATAGTATGGGCGCAACCTTGCATGACTGGTTGTCTACAATTGCAGCATGTCACAGACATGTGCCGAGTGCAAATATGCAAAAGGAGCCGACGTTGTCCGATGGAACCCTGGGTTTTGCCGAATATTGAATGCCTCAGATTCAGATTGACATCAAAACATCAATATCAATACCGTAGGCTGTGATGGACGAAAGCATAGAGGACAATCCAAACCTCACAGGCCTCTTTGCATCTCTTTGCTATGTGCACCCTGTTCTAAACCAAGTTGGCAGACTCGCTCACCAAGGCTGAAGCCAGTGATGGGGCTGATGTCACTCTGCTTACAACAGCCTCGCGACACGATGGTCTTTCTTCACAGATCCAAAGAGCGTCTCAAGAGAAACCATACGACTTTACGACAATCATCAGGTTATGCAGAAGCAAGAGCATCTTTGACAGAAACACGGTAGTAGCTCTTTGACGGAAAACATCTTTCTTCATAGGATAGAGTCACATTAGGGAGAGGGGGGAGTCTCTGCGCCAAAGCTTCAAACTTCAAAACCGCCTAAGGCCTACTATTGCAATTCGATTGACCTCACAGCATCAGCATAACTGGCAGGGATTGTGAGTGTTAGGCCTTCCCACATGCTTTTACATATTCTTCAGAGTTGCAGTATGACAATCTACTTCAATTTACAGTATTTCGCGCAACGGTGCCGCTTAAAGCTCGGATGGAACCGACAGTTGGTGCAATTCGGCAAGCCTAGAACGCCGCGAAAACGTACCCAAGAAAAGCAGAGACACTGCCGAAAAGAAAGGGGAAGACTGCAATGGCACAAGTCGGCAAGCAAAGAGCAAAAGCGAGTGCTCTTTAACTATATACCCCGGTCTATCACAACAAAATGTGTGGCTGAATCTGTGATCTGTAGCACCAATGTTGCAAAGTGAAGAGCAATACCCTGCCTTTGCTTGCGGTGGTGCATCATGTTCAGGGTCCGACGAACACCCAATGCGTTCCTTTAAGTTTGTGGCTCTCTTCACGATACATTGCAGGGTGAGAAACTGAACACATTGGAAACAGTTTGTGGCTCTCTTCCATGTCCACTCCTGATGCTTCGATGCAGCATACGGAGACTTCTTCGCCCCAAGAAGAGGGCTTGAAAAGTCCTGAGAGAAGCGGGTGGCCCTGCAGTGCCTTTTGGTGCCTTGCACTCCCTTTTTAATGTGTTCTTTAATTACATAAATATATTCAATATGTGTCATCTTGAGTTCTATTTGTTCAAAAAGATATGAATACAATATGATAAAGTCACGTGTAATTCCCTACTCTATTTAGTCAAGCTCTGAGAGCTTTAAGGGCTGAGCTGGGACATCGGCCCAGAAGGCGGCAGAAACCACGGGTGGCTGGCAGAAGCGAAGTGGGACAGTGAGGATCGGCGTTGAAAGAGAACGCTCGTGTTGAGATTGAATTTGATTGTTTGGGTTTGATGACATTCTTTCAAAACGTTCGTTTATTAATTTGTATCAGAACGAATGTGCTTTGGAAGCTTCCTTGAAAGCTTTGTTCAATTGGAGCTGTTGGATGTTGCAAGATCTTCAGGATAACCATCAGGCCTTGTAGTTGACCGGTGTCATGACAACTCGGAAATCTGCAAATGTCATAGAATCCTCACGGCCAATCATTGAATAAAGCAAGCGAGCCAATGCACAATCCGATCCCTCGCTGGCGCTCGCTCTGCCATAGGCGTGTCCGGATTCAATTGAAGTGAAACAATTCAAGAACAAACAATCATATGTATGTATATATACACACACATCCGTGGGCGTCTCAGACCGGCTTAAACGAGCAAGGTTTCTTGATAAGTCAGCATCACATGGGAGAAGAAAAGAAGTTAGTTTTATTGTTGCACGCAGCTTTTCAATGTATTATTAACATTACCGACATTACCAATCAACATTATCAAATTATCGAATAGTAATAGTATCAGAGTCCAGAGGGGAAGTCTGGGTAGAACAGAGAAGTACGACCATCTAGCATGAGTTGCGGAAGTTGGTCATCAGCGCTGTAAAAGGGGTGTTGTGGCATTGCACATGTGTTTCTCTGCTTCGAAAGACTGGACTAGCTCTTCTGAAGACTTCAACATTAGTGAGTGATCGGTCGACAAAGGTGATTCTGAGATTGAGAATCTTTCTGAGCCCTCTGAGGTGAAACGTTTGGAGTTTCGACATTAGGTTGTGTGCTATTTCTGTAAGTTCCAGACGGTAGAGGAGTTGAGTTTGGAGCGAATCACGTCATATACTTGGATTTTCCAGTGGAGAGGGCATCTGGCTTGGTGCCAGTTCAAGTTGACATCAGCAGCCAGGGTTCCGCCTAGGGAAGTTATTTGAGAAGCATTGTGTAGGCGCTGTCCGTGTCTGAAACGGCCAGTGTTGTTTCCTTTCATGCTGATCATGCGACATTCTGTCCACGTTCAGTTTTAATCCGCAGTACGCCCATTCAACCTCAATGGCGTGAAGGAATATGCATGCCATGAGCCATCCTAAAGAAAGCAAGGTCAAGAAACAAGAGTCAACAGCTGGGTGTAGCTGAACATTTGAACCCGTGTGGGGACTCTTGGCTCAAATCTGCAAGGGTGCCTTTAGCTCATGCCAACTCCAACAACCCCGGTTGTTCTTGTGGTAGTTTTGTTTCCTTTTGAGAAGCCAACCATCGTGACCAAGGCTGCTGCACGGTATCGCCCTTTGCTTGGCCAGTTAAATGAGCTGGAAAAAAAAACTGGTACGAAAATCATGATCCCAGCAAGAAATCGTGCGATTTACAAGTGGAGGTCTTCATGTTTGGTGGCGGTGGTGGCGGTGGCGGTGGCGGTGGTAGTGGTAGTAGTAGTAGTAGTAGTAGCAGTAGCACTAATAGTAATAAACGCAGCAGTAGCAGCGGCAGCAGCAGCAGCAGTCGGAGTAGAAGTACAAGGGAGTAGGGGTAGGAGTAGGAGTAGGAGTAGGAGGAGGAGGAGGAGCAGTAGTAGTAGTAGTAGTAGTAGTGGTTTTTAGTAGTAGTAGTAGTAGTAGTAGTAGTAGTCGTAGTAGTAGTAGTAGTAGTGGTTTTTAGTGGAAGTAGTAGTATATAAACGACACACATTCGGCAAACACAGAAAAGATCAGAAATAGCTGCGGCGGCGCGTGGAATCCTGAACGAAGGATCCCACAATACTACTTTACATCAACCCACCTTTTTTTGCTCAAATGACCAACGCGACAGTGCAAAATCAAGCACAACAATTGGGGCCTTTTGGCAAGACAGGCTTAAGATTTGTATAACCGGCACCTGTTGGGGCATTCAAGGATTTGTGTGCCTGCGCCTGCGTTGGGGCAATAATTTCAGGATTTTGTGAAGCTGCTGTGGATTTGTGTAGCAGCAAGCTCAACCGTGGGCCTGAGTGCTGCACGGCCCTTCTGAAGAGCTGCGCAGCCCCCAGTGCACGCTACTTTGGAATTAGATGGGGAGAAGCGTGGCAAAGGAGATTGTCGGGCGCGGTACGAGTCCGAAGCAAATACAACAAAAACAGCGCTTCTGCAGCGCATCCTTCTTCTTCAGCAGGTGTCCTTGTCTTATTTGCTTCCGACTGCTTCCGTTTCATTCCCGCCACCGAGCCTCCAGGGTCGGCGGCAGGGGGCGGAGCCCTAGGTGTGCTAGTTTTGCAAAGGGGGAGATACCATATAGCCTGCAGTGCGAAGCAAAGGAAATGTAGTCTCAGAACCTTCAATCCTGTTCGACTGCCTTCACATTTGCGTGATGAACAGAACCGGGAAGAACAAAACCATGCTGATATTCTTCTTAATACGAGAAGACGGGAATTCAAGGTCTTGTGAAAGGGTTCGATCGCGATCGGCCCTTCACGAAACATCCATGGGCAATCCTCGGGAAAACACCTGTGCCAAAATGGAGAGGTTGTCAATGAGAGGAAGGATGCCAAGAGCGAAAGTTGAAGCAGTGGAGATGTTTCAGACTGAGCAGTATTCACGCAGCACAGGACCAGTCCTTTTCGCGATTGTTTAGGCAAGTTTATATACCTTTATATGCTGGCTGAACTCACTGCGAATGTCGTCTCGAACAATTACGAGCCCTTCCTCGTCCGAAGAGTCAAACTCCTTGAGTCGCGCAGGCACCTGGGCAAGTGAAATCATGAGGTTGTGGGGGTTTGGCTAGTAGCGGCTAGTAGTCATATCTCCAAGATTGCAATGGAATGAAGTTGAAGCAAAATGGTAAGGATTCTGCATAGTTTGGGTTCGTTGCGCACGGCAACAAACCAAGGTTTGTTTCTTTCTCCTGGCCATCAGCTTATTGGCTGGAAATCCAAAAGCTCAAAACTCGCTGAAACATCTGAAACCATGACAGTCCTCAGCTTGAGGAAACAGCCTGCTGCCTGCATGGTAATTACTACACAACAACCACTGTGCTCCAGCACTCAATGGAAGATGCACACACAAGCGCCAACAAGGTGGTCACCACACCTGCTAGAATTTGATACAAGATGGTCCCAACCTCAGAGTCGTGCTGTTGGACATACTATGGAATGCGCAAGCCCGGCTCGCCGAGCCAGCTGAGCATTCAGACACTCCAAATGTCGCGCTTTTGCACCTAAGTTGGCAAGCTGTTCAACAAAGGAAATCACCAGGATGCAGAGCTGTGCACAGGCCTACTTTCGATTGATAACCTCGAAGCTTTCATGTGCCAAACATCAAGCAGTTTGGCTATAGTCTGCTTCGCTACACAACAAGCCCGGCCCAATATGATTGTATGTAAGCAAGAAAACATACTTTGCGCACCTTTGCCTGATAAAGCAATTACTACAAACCCAAAAGCTTCGCATTCTCTGCTACATCCCTCCAGCTTCAATTGGGCTTTCAGGATACAAAAAATATTGGAGCTCAGCGTCACGCGTGGCCAGGTATGTGTTCCGAGCGTGCAGGAGATTCCTCTCAAGTCAGAAATACCAAGCCAAACAGTGCCAAGTTAGATCCGACATTTCTTCAGTACCAGAACTCTTATCAAATTCGTTTTGGCAGTCTGCGGCCACCAGTCCTGGCAGCTCACTTCACTCAGGCCAAAGTCAACCTGCAGTTGTTGCGAGATGTATTCCTGTACATCATCCAAATGACTCTTGCGTAAGCGAAGCGCATCCTTTGTTTGCAATTGTCCGTGGTACTAGCATGTGCTAGTTTTGCCGTTGAGGGAACAAGTGCCCCAGCTAAACCTCGTATGGCACAAGTCACTGAGCTTGTGTTGGAGTGAACCCGAACTGTAGTCGGCACGGCAAGCCCTCAATGCCCAAGTTCTTTGACATGTTGCCAATGAAGCATATGATGGGGCACAACCATGCACAACCACTATATACTATTGGTGCTCGATGCGACTTGGAAGGCTGAATCTTACAAACTCCTAATGGCACCTCCATCTTGGTGGAAAGTTGGAGTGGACTACATCAAATGCAAAACTACTTGAGGTTCTGGGACCCGCCATCCAAAAAATAGTTTGAGAGGGGGTGGAGACGGGCTGAGTAGTTTTCTAGTCTAGACATCTCAAAGGATTTTTGCAAGAACATTGCAAAAAAGAGCTTATGCATCTGGACCCCGAAGAACATGCCTGCGACTTGCCGATCAACAAGGACTGCAAATAAACATTTCGAGTTGATGAAGAAAGCTTTTTGCACCAAGGGAAACACGCATCCAGAAGGAGCCACGAAAGTATGTGGGGCCATGAGCAGTAGGTGTCCAAGGCCCAACACAACCCCAACAAGCTAATCGATGTCATTCTTACAATATAATTATGAGATTTGGGGGCTGGGGAGGACCACTGACTATTTGGAACTAAGGTAGTACTTATTCAAAGAATTGCTTGCACAGGCATTGGGAGGTTAATGGAATTTTACTGAACAAAGAAGATCATACCGCCTGTGAAGTCGGAAGGGAGACCACCCCCCAAAGTTATCGCTGGGGTTTGGAAAGCTCTTCCCTCAAAAGTAAGCCTGGCAGGTGCAGTACCCCTACCTACCCCTAAAATAAACTTCAGAAGGCAGGAGCCATAGCTCTTGACGCCGCGTGCGAGTTCTGTTTCTTCTCTTGGGAGTGAATTGGACCCTATTCTCAGTCATGTAGATCTTGCCATGCGAACGAGAGGCTCTCAGGGCGCTTCGTTAAACATGTTAAAGGCGGGTCGAAGTTGCCGAGATGGCCCACCAAAGAAAAGGTGTGTATGTGTGTCTGTGCAGGGGACATGCAATGAGCTCAAGCCAAATGAAATGATCTTCAACACGTACAAGAATGACAGTCTCTTGCTGGCAGCCAGGTCACACATTCATAGACCCTCCCAAAAGTGCCCTGCAGGCCACTCTCTGTGGGTCTGGTAGTTACTTTGCTTTTGGAGTACTGGTTCCAAGTTTCAGAACAACCCTTCGACAATGATTGCAAATAGACATAACACACTTGGACGGTTCTTCCAACTGCACATCACTGCCTTGCCCACCAAAGTGTTTGGGTCACCTGCAAAATGAAACAAGAAAGAGTCCCGGTCACAATCTAAGGGCAAGGCATTGACAATGCAAATGTCTAGGGGCTTCGCTAATGCAGAATCTGTCAGACAAGCGGCAAGCGTTTGCCTGGGCGCGCGAAGACCGTGTACTTTAATTAGCATGTCTGGAAGTCATCTTTGCTCCAAGCCCGAATCAGCGCAGCCCGATAGAAGCTGTGTCGCCTAGCGTCACATGTTGCTTTACAAAGAGCCCCCTCCCTCAGTACGCTGTGTGCGTCCCAACCACAGGAATAAGCCCATCCCAGAGTCCAGAGTACATACCGTTTTGCTGTTGGGACTTTCACAACTTCTATATATATATATATATATATCAGCTCAACTCACCACTTCTTCTGTTTTCCACCTGCGTGTGAGGGTGTACACGCAGCTAAGCTCAGTTTTTCGAGCTAAAGCTGTAGATGAAGTCACCCCTGGATGGGTGGGCCCGTGATTTGGGCCGGGAAGCTTGAAGGAAAGTGTTGCGGCTCACAGATAGTGAGTCATCAGTTCAACTCACCACTTCTTCTGTTTTCCACCTGCGTGTGAAGGTGTACACGCAGCTAAGCTCAGTTTTTCGAGCTAAAGCTGTGTACCAAACCTGAGCTTGTGCGAAGGCTTCTGCTTTGCTCAGAAAAGTAGGAAAGCAGCTTGCGAGTTCCAAAAGGATCTTGCGCTTTTCTGGCTCCAAAATGGACAAATATGATGTGGCAGCAATCTCTTGTATGTAGACGCTCATCACACGGTAGCTTGCCCATCTACCTGGTCGCATGACCAGGCCACCACTTTCCGTGGTCTGAAGGAGATGTGTAGCGCCACCCGGGCGTAAGCTGCCTAAATCTAGGGCTTTGACCCCTTTGTAGGTGGAAGTCGGCAACTGTAGTGCATTCAACACTGAACGAAAACGTGACCTCAGTGTTTGTCCACTCATGCCCCAAAGAGCCTCAGAGGGCTTCAACTGCTTGAAAGCTAGCTCTGTGACTTGAACCAGGTCCGGGATGTCCAACTTGGCACACTGGTGCCGCGCTGTAGTGTACCTTGTCTTGGGCTCAGGTATGGCCAGAAGGACAAAAGGCACTGTTGAACCTACGTCTGAAGGGAGCTGAAGTTCCCCTCTTTTTGCATGTAGAACCTCTCCCGCTCGTACAAGCCCTCCCCACGCAAGAGCTACACAGCCAGCTAGTCTGACCCAGCCCCATGCCAGGCAGCATGAGAGGAAAGCCATGACCACTTGAGGTGGCATTGCAGTATGGTGTATGGAGGGCTCTAGCTTGACCCAGCTATAAGCTTGGTCCCACGCTCCTTCGAGCGTTCTACGCTGGGGCTTCAAACTGGAGATCGCGTTGATCGTCTCTGAGAAGTGGTTCAGAGGGCGGCCTCCCCTGTAGAGGTCGTGCCCATAGGCAGTAAGGAGAAGGTTGATTTCTTCCACACACTGGTAGGCATTTGAGAACAACTCCCCAAAGCTGAGACCTCTTCCTTCTAGCCATTGGCTGAACTGTTGCAGTAAAAGCTCCCTATTCTTCTCTGTCGCCTTTAGCGCCGGTCTCCCCGTGGGCAGCGGCCCTCTTTGCTCACGGGCGAAGAGGCGCGCTTTGTCGCCTGCATTTCTTTGCTCAAAAGGGCCTGCCATGGCTCCCCAGCGCGCGTCCCCGGAAGTCCACAAGGCAGACAAGGCAAAAAGGAGCAGGGGAGGAGGGAGGAGCTCCAAGCAAGCAAAAGAGAAGTCGGAACTAAAAGGCCAGAAATCCAACGGTCCCTCGCCTGGAAATCGGAACGCTGAATCACCTCTAAGGGCGGCACTCGAAACGATCCATGATGTCTAAAAACAAGGACTTTCGAACCACTTAAGGCCAAAACAAGCCTGATCCAGTCTGCGGCCCATCTTCTGAGGCCGGCGCACTGCGCTAGCAAAATCAGCTCTTCCCTATCCCTGTTGGTGATTCCTACATGTGAACCTCTCTCTCTTACAGGTTCATCCCTTGTTGGATCGTTAGAGGGATTGAGGCGAGTGGGACAAAAAGGAAGGCTTGGGTACAATCCATACGCAAGTAGAATGCCATTAATGCGAGCAATTATTGGCATCAACCCTTTCGAAGATGACCTGCCCTTGGACACAGAACATCGGACAACGTTTGCGTCGACAAGGGACAGGTACCTGCACGGCTTCCTTAGTTTTGTCATACGCTCTGCTACCCGCAAGACTGAAACAGCTTCCTGGGTGTTGATATGTGAAGGCTTCCGAAAAGGCCAAACTTTTTCAACTTCCCAGGGCGCTTCCAAAGCAACCTGGTCTGTCAACAGGTTCTCCAGGCCAGATGCTCGGACAAGGTTCCAGTCTATCAGCACCTGCGCCAAAGCTTCTGCTAAGTCATCCGTACATTGCACTGGCTTTTGTGAAGGAGCCGGACACAGCCACATGCTTTCCTTGGCATGTGCATCTACGTCTAACTCCTGCCAATGGGGCCAGACGCTCAGGAAAGCAAACGACTTCTGATGGGTTGACCCGAATTGACAAGAGTCGGTTCGGCAAAAATCAACTCCAGGTTTATGCCTCAGCACCTTAAAAGGAGGGAGTGACTTCAGTCTAGACGAGAATGGTGTTTCCAACCATCCTGGAACCCCATAGTACCTGCCCCACGACAAACACTGTAGCGCCCTCAAGCCGAGTGTCGTGCCTGTTTTTGTTTGTGGGTCTGAGACATCGAAGCCGTAAGGCACTTCTTTTGACCTCAGCTGAGGACGGCACATGACTGAAAAAATGTCGCGCAGGGAGGCTCGACTGAGAAACTCTTTACGCTCTTTGAGGCTATCAGGTGGCTGAGCCAAGACATAACCTGGTGATTACACGTGTCGTATTGTGGGCTGTGGCTGAGGTCGATTGGGGGGCCCACAACAAAACCCCTGCGGTCCATGCAGGGGGTGACCTTTGCTGACCCTGCAAACCCCTCAATAAAATCAAATCGAAATGCAAGAGGTCGGCGGATCTGGTCGTTATCAACTTGTTTCTTGTTTCCTGACCTCCTCAGAGACCCTGAGTCTCCTGAGCTCTTGTTCGGTAGGATTGAGGAGGCGGGTATACGCTCCCTTGGATTTTGTGGCTTTCCAGAGCACTTCTGTCACGTGTTGAGGCACGACTGCTGAACAGAATGCCCCCTTTTGGCCTGATGCATCACTGCAAAAAATCTGGCTATGAAACTCTGCGTTTAGCTCCGGACAGGCTAAAGGCACTAACACTGCTGCCAGCACCAGCTCGTTTGCTGTCTGCCCTGGGAAGCGGGACGACCTTTGGCGACTCTATTAACCAAAAAACTTTGTGGAACAGGCCCATGAGGGGAGCTCGACGCAAAACCTCCTACCAAACAGGAATGCAAAACATCGGTGGCGTGAGTGAGCCGAGAGCTGGAGGGCTATGACGGATAAGGCAAGCCTCTTCTCATAGGTGAGCCTGAGACGACCATGCCCCGATCCCTGGCTTCCTCTGAAGCGTTGACCACAGCTCCTACAATCTTGGCTTTCGAGCTGAGCACATCTTTCTCAGGGCTCCCAAAAAGGCCAATGTCCTGGTAAGCATTCAAAGCTAAATCAATCCTCTTCTTGCAAGCGATTCCTGCAGTGGAGTGTCATTCGTTTCAAGACTCATGGCAAAGAAATCATCGATGCGCAATCCCTGACACTCTCTTAAATTAAACAAAGGCTGGCAGCTCTGGAGCCTACAGGATTCTTGCAAAAGGTTGTAGCTTTGAAGCAAAGTTGTATGCGCGCAAGTTCCCCTGAAGGATGGACTTGAAACCGCAAAAGAGAACGTGAGGTGCTCCCCCAGCAGCCCTCCGACCTCTCATGCCCAGCCGGTCTCCATGAATGCTCCTCTGATATCTCAAGGCAGTTTGGCGATTCATGAAAGTTGAAAAAGCCTTGGTACACTTGATTGACATCTTCCACATTGACTGCCGGTCCTACAGTGTTCGAGAAGGCTCGACTAGGCGTCACAGCAAACTGGTGGTAGAAATCCTTTCTATCAGTGATTCCTTGCGCTATATAGTGGGTGGAGGGATTACCAATACCAATTAAGGAGGTCGGAACCGCAAAGTAGGAAGAGTTCGTCGTCTAAATGAGGAGATGCATCCCACGCCCCCGTGCCAGTCAGCACCAGGCGGCTTGCGTCCAGGTTCCGGTATGGTTTGAGTTCCTCAGCTTGCGTCAAAGGAGCGACTTCTGGAATGACCTGTCATATGGATTGCTTGAAAAGCCTATGGAGGTCAGTAGGGCTGTGGCAAATAGGGCCAAGTGTTCGCTGACACCATCGAAATCTTGTGCAATTGCAGCATCGATGATGTATCCAAGCACCCAGAGTATGGTCCCCAGATCTTTTGACTGCTTGTCCAGATACCCAATGAAAGACAGGCCGGAGTCCTTGGCTGCCTCCACGCTGGTTGGCGCGGGCCTCGACGGATTCATCCTCCTTGAGAGTTGCTGAAGGAAAGCCAACCAGAACTGACTCTGCCTCAGTGCTAAGTCTTGCTGCATCCTCTCGCGCCTTGCAACGCCTCTTGTAGATGAGGAGCTTGCGGAGGCGGTACCCGAGGTCGATCAAAGGATCCGCGGCGTGACCTGCCAGGTGGGACACCAGGGCTGTCAGGGCGGTGCTCTGTTGTGATAGCGCTTCCAAAATTGGTGCATGCATCGGAGCAAAAGGGTCTACCGGCTCGTCCGGAATGACAACTGTCTTTGGCGGTGGACCCATGAGGGCAGCAGCCCGTCTCACTGACGCCTCTTTCGGCTGTCCCATATGCGCAAAACCCCTTGACAGAGCTGGCATGGTCGGATAGGCACTTGTGATTAGCTGAAACACTCACACTGGACCTCAGCTTCTCGATGCAGAGATCTGTCAGGTACCTAGGTACAGGAGGCACGGGCGTGAGCGAAGGGACTGAACTGGCACCGGTGTAAGGCCTCAGCAGATCCGACACTCCGATCGGCAAAACTCCTTCCTCTATGACCTCCCAGTCTGAGGCTCCGCCTTCGGTGCTTTCAATGCTTGAGAGGCTCAGATTCAGTCGACTGATTCGTTCTGCTAATTCTATCAGGAGTTGCTGAACCGAGGACAGCTCTTGACGGGCCAGATCCAGATTAAGCTCAGTGCTCACGCAAGTACCCTCGAATCCGATTGGCAGGCCTGGGTGGATGAACAGGGCGCCAAGTCCAGGTTCTAAGCGAGGGGAAATGCCAGAGAGTAAGGAGAAGGAGGAAGCAAATGCAAGGGATGGCCAGAATGAAGCCACAAGCTATGCCCACTAGAAAGGGTGCAACGATGGACGGATGGCAGTGCGCCGGACACGAAAAGAGAGCAGTGGCTTGAAGGACAGCGGTGAGCCCTTTCACCCACCCACCCATGAAGCTTGAGCCAAAGTGTTGCGGTTCACAGATAGTGAGTCATATATACAGTATATATATATATATACTGCAGAATGAACAGAGTTCCATCTTGCGTTGACTCAACTCCAGACCTGTCAAGCAAGTCATTCTTCTGCACCTCAATGCAGCACTTGAAGACTTGGCACGACTCTTACAATGCTTTGGGCCGGAAACAATTGTTGCTGGTTGAAGAGTCCAAGCGTTGCATTCCTCCTTTATTCCTTTTCCACCTAACTGAAATGCGATTTCCAAGGCGAATACTGCCATTCGAGATCTTGCTAGGAGAAGCGAACTCGAAGAATGTACGCACCAAGAATCCTGCCACAATCGTCAAGCTCGAAAGGTACGGACTCTACTTGTCAAGCCCAAAATCACCGCACCTGATGTCGCTGGCATATTGGTGGTGCCAGCGATCGGCTCGCCAATGCCTGAACGCATGCGAGCTGATCAGAAACTTAGCTGCATTGAGTTCTACGACACGTCGACATGTCCAATTCTTCCGCTCTTTTGATTCCAAGCAATTCGCATTCTTCTTGCTCTTGCGCTCATTGTCCGACCTAAAAGTGGACAGCCGCATCAAGCAACACCAACCCCTATATGATTGACATTAAGTGCCACTCACTAGCTACAATGGCTGAGCTCGTCGCGAGCTTGAATGAGTACTCCTTCCGAACAAACACGGAAGTATCTTGGACAAATGGACCGCAAATGCAGAAACTGCATTGTCAGCTGCCTTGCAAATGACACTGCAGAGCTGACATAGGGCTCCTGACACCACACCGCATACTTTGAACACAATTCACCAATCAAGTTTGATGAACTTCTCACCCAGCCTCTGCTGCACTATCAACGTTCCTCAAAACTCAATGTGTTTGAAAGGTCTTTACGGTTTGGATCATGTGTTTCAGAAAAGTTCAATCGCCTTGGGGAACCTGTCGATGCTGACGGAACAGAAGACCTTGTCCTGCAAGATCATGTTTGGTTCAATGAACTGAACATTCACCACCAAAGCTGGCTCAAAAGTGCACCACCCTGCGTGTCATTGACAGTACAACGCGCTGTTCACACAAGGTGCTTTGCCGCGTCAGGAACCCTGACACTGACCACCACTCTGTCTCAGCACTGCAATAGCAGATTTCTGCAGTGATCTTGAAACCTCCGTCATGATCAACCGACCCCTGTGGTGATAGCATTAGGCTTCAGGCGCAAGTCGTGAGTCTGGAGCGCGCACTGCCCATTGATCGCTGGAATCACTTCAGAGTAAAAGGTTCGGTGTTGTGTTCCCGCATATGTTGTTTTTGCTGCCGCCGCCAATCATAAATCATCCTGGTCACTCCAGTGGACCAGGGAGAGCGATTTTCACTTGTGACACTGTAGGACTGCATAGTTCCTTGTTTTTTGTGTGTTGGTCTGGCCATAGCTCGGAAGTTTGTCTCTGTTTACTTGGGAACTACGACGACGACGACGACGACGACGACGACTACTACTACTACTACGACTGATCCTACTCCTACTCCTACTCCTCCCCCGCCTCCGCCTCCACTCCTCCCCCGCGTGTGTGTGGGGTTTCTCCTTGCTTGTGGTTTCTCCTGTGGTGGTGATGGTGGTGGTGGTGGTAAAGGTGGTGGTAAAGGTGGTGGTAAAGGTGGTGGTAA